AGCAGTGGTATCAACGCAGAGTACTTAAGGGTCTCAATAGACTGCCAATTTTCCCCAATTTTTTTTTTTTTTTCTTCAATATTTTATCTTCCTCCAGAGTGGAAGTCAGTGCAGTGCGAGCCTTCGCTATATCCTTTAGGAACGGCTCAGTAAGTCCATTACTGGCTATTCGGTGGCATTTTATTCCCAGCCTCTGACGAAGATCTTCATCACTTCGTTTTTCTTTGTCGAGGGTTTTCTCAGTATCGGCGAGAATCTCCTTTATCCTGGCTCGTAGATTTGATACTTCATTGAGTCTTGCTTGCAGTTCTTTTAGTCCTCCTGCTGCTCTAATCTCAGCTGATTGTCGTCTTACTGACTCTGGTACTGGTGACATCTCTTCAGAAATGCCAAGTGAAGCGACGATTCCCTCCATCTTTTTTTTTTTTTTTTTTTTTTTAAGGCGAAGTATGTTCATTTTATGACACGAAGCTTGAATGTCATCCAAATACACGACTGGTTACAGCAGTTTACGTTTAAGTTTCTTGAAAGATGGAAATTTTGTATTCAAGGGTGCGGGCCCATGCTATGCCATGGTGTCTGCCCTACTGTATAATTCGGATACGGTACTTGATATGGTGGAGGGAATCGTCGCTTCACTTGGCATTTCTGAAGAGATGTCACCAGTACCAGAGTCAGTAAGACGACAATCAGCTGAGATTAGAGCAGCAGGAGGACTAAAAGAACTGCAAGCAAGACTCAATGAAGTATCAAATCTACGAGCCAGGATAAAGGAGATTCTCGCCGATACTGAGAAAACCCTCGACAAAGAAAAACGAAGTGATGAAGATCTTCGTCAGAGGCTGGGAATAAAATGCCACCGAATAGCCAGTAATGGACTTACTGAGCCGTTCCTAAAGGATATAGCGAAGGCTCGCACTGCACTGACTTCCACTCTGGAGGAAGATAAAATATTGAAGAAAAAAAAAAAAATTTGGGGAAAATTGGCAGTCTATTGAGACCCTTAGCAAGTCCGAGAAGGAGCTGTTTCCGCTTTTTCCATCTCGACCAAATCGATTAGGAGATAAAACGCCAGAGGCAATGAGTTTTCTATTGAAATTACTAGATAAAGCTCAAGAGATCAAATGTGAAAGGGTTGAGCTTCTGAAGGAAATCAATGCTAAGCGCGCTTCTACGTCTGCGGACGACATGGTACCAGTAGTCAGTCAGTTCAAGCTTTGTAGCGATGATAACATCATAAAAGAGAAAGTGAAAGAGGTTTGCGATCCAATCAAAGAAGAAGTGGACAAAAGTCTCAAAAAGCAGACTATGCTCATGAATGATGTAGAGAAGTGGACTACAAGATTTCCTGCCCATACGAGTTCGAAAAGCCCCATAGGTAAGACTCACATAGAAAAATCCTTGGCAAATGGCTATGAAGTGTTCCGCGAACTCAACAGTAAGCTCCCCAAAAGAGTCAAGCACTGTCACAATCTACTTGACAGCCTCCTTCGGCTACAAGAAAAAGTCAATGATTTTTATTTTGCACGAGAAACTGAAAAAGACGAACTGCTGCGGGCGTATCAGCAGAATGTTAATTCAGCTTCCACCTCTGAGAGCACTTCCTTTACTCCGAATGTTCTTCCAACAGCACAAGTTTCGTTTGTACCTTTGACTGTACCTCCATACAACACAGAAGGATATATTAACGCCCCACAACCAAATCTGCTGCCTGCACCTCTTCCCACACCTTTGTACTCGACACCGTCCGCAGTACCACCACCCCCACAAGCAGCATTCTACCAACAGCCCAACTACGGTACACAACAGACGCAAGCAATGTTTGTCAAAACTTCATCTCTGACAAGGATGGTGAAGTGTGGCATGACCTCAAAAGAGTGTGGCTGCCAGATCTTCTTCCGTCCCCCCCCCCTCCCCCATGCCTTCTGCCCTCCTGGCTTACAGTGTGAGGTGATGTGTATAATTACTAAACCATTTTGACAGGGTTTGCTCATTATACTTAACGTTCATCAGTCACTAGTGAGGAAAAATTGGGCCCGCACGTAGAGGTAACTTTAGTGTTCAATGTTGCTAGCCTTCTAGCTTGCTATTTCTCTTCTTGATATTGACGACGTAAATTTGTCGCGTGATGAACGCATAGCAAATGTTTGCCAACATATTGATTTTAAGCAATAAACCTAAATTTACAAGCTCCCTTTACGAAACTGAGCCTATTCCATGTCATTGTACTTCAACTTATACAGGTTTGATGAGCAGTTTCAATGCAGACCAAGCCAGAGCTCGTATCATGACCTCTCTTTCGAATATGTAGCCTAGTTCCATTTTCTGCAACTGAAGGAAATGAGGTATACTTCCGCTCTTTTTTCTAACTTCCTAAGCATACTTCGCATAAATTACTATTTCATTTAATCCGCTGTAAACGTATCCACAAACTGAAAAACCAGATGAGAAAGTTTGATTGGGCAAATAAAACAAAATAAAAAATGCAAGCAAGATTACAGATTGCTCAAGTAGCCTCTACGGTCGGTCATTCTGGGATTTTATCAAGCAGTGCACATTCAGTGAATGTCTGTTTTGAATTTGTGTATTTTTTTGCTCATTTTGCCATGCAGAACCTAACTGAGCTTATTTAATTTTTCGAGATTTCGAACTTTTCAAAAATTATAAAGTTACAGCATTCGTATCTTTACGAATGATAACATACTTGCGAAGCTATCCTTGCTGTGGAAAAAAATTCACTCTGAAGTTTTTCTAATGATGCTTATGTAAGCGTACGACTTCAACAGGATGTCGTTCACTTTTTCCATTATTCGCTTCCTCATTTGAATTGCGTTCATTTCCGCTTAAGTAGTTATAACACTGATACAACAACAAGCTCGAGTTATTGTGTGCAGAGCAACATAGATCTACGGCTTTGTTTAATCTAGAGAGTATGCTTGTAGGCTCTGTCTCGCAATTTACCAATCATTTTTAATAATTCTTGTATTGATTGTTGGGTCAACGGAATTTTTTTGGTATTTGATCCCATCCCAAAATGAAACGTGACACCCCAACCGGCCCGTAGTAAACCCCTGTTCAGCGCAACTCGGCTAACTAAGAATAGCATATTTGGAATCAGCGTTTGAAGCTGATTTAGATATATATACTCAGAGAATCGCCGGGGGTAGGCGGCCATGTGATTTATAGGCAAGTGAGCACCGGAAAAATAGTTCGCTGATTTCATGAGGTCCGCTTGCAAGATATATAGGGGGATTTAGGCATTTTGTGAGCGAGCCTGTAGGGATTATTCATAAATTAGTTGCGGAGCAGAGGCCGCATTCGCCTGGACTTTCCCGACAATGGGCAAAAGGACCTTTGTGAAGGACCGCACAGCTCGTAGGTATCCTCCGCTAAAAAAAGGTACAAACTCGGGTAGTTAAAGTATAGATGGCACCTCTCCACATAGTCAAACAATTGCCGGGGGCAGACGGTATGCAAATTCGCGCTTTTTTGGAGGCGGTCAGCAGAATTTTGGGGCGTGGCCAAACCTTTAGCGAGCGGTACTTCCCTTATTGTCGCATGATCTGCCAGCGGGTAGCAATATACAATTTTCTGCAAGCGCTTGTCAAATAACTTCTTCCAGCGAGCGCTGGTTAGACTTTCAGCAGGCGCTCGGACTCTTTATACTTCTCTCAGCGAAAGGTACCCACGAGCAGTGCGGTCCTTCACAAAGGGTGCGTAGCAAGTGTTACCCAGGCAGCCGCCTGGTGCCGCAGCCAGCCGCCAGAGATGGCACTGCCGCGGCTGAGCTACCGTAAGTGCGCTCTCGTCGTCCGCCACCTCTCGCAGAGATATTTTCGCAGCAGCCTCGCACCTCTCGCGCTGAGGTGCGAGGCTGCTGCGAAAATATCTCTGCGAGAGATTGCGGACAACGAGAGCGCGCTTACGGTAGCTCAGCCGCGACGCTGGTGCCAGCTCTGGCGGCTGGCTGCGGCACCAGGCGGCTGCCTGGGTAACACTTGCACGCCTCCCCTTCACAAAGGACCGTACGGCTTTCAAGATTTTTGCATATCTCGGGGAAAATACACGGCAATGAGGTTTCTACTCCGTAACTAATCTGTGACTAATCCCCACACGTTCGCTCAAAAAATGTCTAACATTCTCCCAAATGTCTGCAAGCGGACGCAAGAAATCAGCGAACTATTTTTCCGGTGCCCGCTTGCCTACTGCCTACCCATGCGGATCGCCTCTTATGTCTTGAGCGTTTTTAAAAACAAAACTCTTCGAGCAGACTGGTCGAACGGCTAAATGGATGGGATCCAACGCCAAAGGCTATAGTTGGAGACCGGCTAATGGCGAATTTCGCATCATTGCCGGGCATTCTTCAATAGTGACCATTGTTGAAAAAAATCGATGGTGACCTACTAAGGATATCGCCATAGCAGATAATTGGGCAAAACAAAACAACAATATTCAACGAATCATGGAAATCTAAGGAACTTGGAACAGACACATACATTAGTTGTCTCATATGTCTTCTCATTTTTGAGTTTATTTTGATGAGTCATACACTTCTTGTTCTAAATAGACATTAAAATACCGTTTGATAAAGCAAAGCAAGCTCTATGAGATGGCGTTTATGCTTTTGCACCAGCTTCGATCCACCTCAAATTCAAACCAAGATTTGAAAAGTTTCGGATGCCCAAAACAGTGAAAAAAATTTTATATCTTCGTTCAAAAAAGCCCTAATTCACTCGTTTACGCATGTACACTCCACATTAGACACTCATATGTGCTGTTGCTGTTTTTTATTAGCTAGAAATTAAGAAAACAAAAATTTCTATGTTCACCAAAGTGATGCTGTGCTTTTTACACTAACAGTTTACAACAAGCCCTTGAAGGTACAACCGTGAAAGAAATGTTAAGTTAAGCTTGAAAAACTCGAGTGAGGAAGGCTAGATTCAATATTTCTTGGGAACTAGACTGCATAGGCGCCAAAAGTGAGGGTTGTTTGAATATTTGACGTCATAAATAGTGAATGTAGTTTGAAGAAGATCAGAGAAGAGAAAATGACGTAAAACAGATATTAAAAGCAAAAGAAACCGCTGTAAACCGGATAAAAACACTGCAATAAGGTTTGAAATCTTTCATTTGGCGTCTTTTCAAAGTGTCGCTCTAGGACCAGCAATTCACAACATGGGGTTTTGATTTTTAATGCGTCCTTTAAATTTTTATCCCCGCACGTTCCTGTTTCCTGGGACGTTGTCTGGATTGTTGCGCTTATTGTTCTGAGCAACAATCGCCCAAGCTGGAAAAGAATCGATGCGAAAGCACTGAAATAGATTAAGGTAAAGCAAAACACACTTTTTACGATTTTTGCAAAAAATTCTACCATAATCGAAGAGGTAAGGCTGGGTGGTTGTCTGCATTATGAATTAAGAACTATAGAATGAATTAAGATCTATAGAATGCATGAAAAAACCGCGTGAAAGGAGTTAAACTACGAGAAAAACAAGAGATTTTCGAAAACAAGGTTTTTGCCGGATTTCTTGTTTGAATCAAAGAATGTGGTTTTGGGACGTTGTCAGCGTGAAAATAGAGATCAAGAGCTTCAAATCGACATATAGCTTGCATTTGGGTTCGAAACAGCGAAGAAAAGGGTACCAGAGCCAAATGCCCCGCGCCCCGCGTTTGGGGTAGCGAGATAGCGCGCAGCGCACGGAGACCAGACCAGCAGCGGAGACAGACCAGAGCCGACGGGGCATTTGGCTCTGGTCGTAGATCTTAGCGGGGTCTCAGCGAAACTCTGCAACATTATATTAGGTCGTTCAAAAAGTAATTTCGCTTTTTTCAAACGGGCACCACATTTGACGCAACAAAGATTTCTAGGAGATCCTGAGAGCATTCGATGCCGAACTTCATTCTCTTTCTAATGGTTGTGAAATTGTTGCAAAACAATCAATGGGCTTTCAGAAAATAACCAAAGTCTGCGACCCATGCTTTTTGAGATAGTCTAGTTTCACAATTTTTTAAAACATCCACATCAATCCTCAGAAGAAGTTCAAGTAACTGTTCGATAGAGCAAATCATATAGAATGCAAAGCTACTATGTTCTCCTTTCCATAGCTTGTCATACATTTTTGACAGAATTTTAAGTGATGCTACCGATTTCCATACTTGGGCAGCTAAATCCTCGTAGACCATCAGAAGAAGAGCAGCTCGGCCACTATTCGACGCAGCATCTTCTCCTCTTTCTAACGGGTGGTTTTTGTTTCTGATTCGTTTAGTTTTCGGGGATAAAAACATCACAATTCATTTTTTTGAGGAGCCTCAGGCTGTACCTGAAAATCTCGAAATTTGATATTTCGTACCCGTAAACCCTCACTTGCTTTATAAAAATTAATGCTAACTCATAGTACCATCTTGGTAGTCTCAAATTCCGAAAAATTATGATGTTTGCTGCGATTGTGGCTGAGGTGGGCCTGCCAAAATGTGATGGTTTTGTTAAAAAATCTTTTGAAAAATTACGGCGAGCTACGAGGAAGAGAAAAAAGTAGTGCTGTATTCTATAGGTTTACTCTATCGAATCGTTACTTGAACTCCTTCTGAGAATTGATATGAAAGTTTTAAAAAATTGTGAAACTTGACCATCTCAAAAAGCATGGGTCGCAGATTTTGGTTGTTTTCTGAAAGCTCATTGACTGTTTTGCAACTATTTCATGACCATTAAAAAGAGAATAGAATTCTGCATCGAATGCCTCCAAGATCTCTTAGGAACCTTTGTTCCGTCACATGTGGTGGCCGTTTGAAAAAAGCGAGAGTACTTTTGAAACGACCTAATATATCATTCTGATCATCATAACACGACGAGAAGAAATGACAACGTCCCAAGCTTTGAAAATCACTCATTAACGAAATAGACCAGCGTATTCGTGCGCGATTCTCTGCGCAAGAATTGAGCGTAGTTTCTCGTTTTTATTTAACTCCAGTAGCTTTTCTAAATTCTGAAACTCTATTTTGGTTAAATGAGAGGTTAACTGAGAAATTTTGTCCTGAATTCTGGCGAAAATTCCACACAAACCTTCTTTTTAACGTAAAAAAGGCTATGAAAGCGCAAATTCTCGGTTTCGCTGATATAAGCTAGAGATATTATTCCCTATATTTGCTTCATTAACATACGTTCCGATATAGTCAGGATAATAACATCCAGGGCGAAGCCCCGGTTGACTTCTGTTTTTTCCAGGTGAAGACTGTGTCCCCTCATAGCCCTCAAAGTCAAGGTTAACGGAATACATGGCTCTATGTATCGAGGGTAGCTAAACTGTATGAAAAGCTAG